TGGGCAGATGTTTGCTTACCTTCCGTCATGTTTTGATCCTTGTTGTCCTCAAGCCATCTTTTCCTAATGCCTGCATTGCTTTCTTCAGAAGCTCCCTAGCTTCCTCTGTCTGCAGTTTTCAGCTCCTCTGTCGTGTAAGGTTCTGAGCACCATCTCCAGTCTCCATCCCTCTCTTCAGATGGTCCTCATCTCCCCCAAGTTCTAAGAATCTTCCTCTGAAGACTCTCTTTGTGGGCTGTGAGCTTCTCTCACTTATGGATTGGAATGTTTGCAAACCTCTAGAGTCCAGTCTCTCTTGGAGGGCTCTGAGTTTCCCCCACATCCTTCAGGTTGTGAGCCCCACCCACTGGGGGTCCTGAGATCCCTTCAAGCTCCTGAGAACTTGACAAGGAACCTTCTGAACCACTGGCCCAGAAGTGACTAAAATCTAATATCAAATCAGGCTGGTGCTAAAACAGCTGTTCCTTGAACTTGAATTTTTGAAATGTGAGAGGGCCTATGTTATGCTGCTTCTATTCAAATTATATGGACACAAGGCATTTTCATCCTATAAAGTAGTAGAACTTGTTGCTGTTGTTATGTGCTGTCTAGTTGACTCCAACTCATAGTGACTGCATGTCCCAGAGTAAAAGAGTCCCATAAGGTTTTCTAGGCTATAATCTTTATGGGGACAGATTGCCAGGTCTTTCCCCACTGAGCCCCTGGGCAGGTTTGAACCACCAACCTTTCAGTTAGCAGCCGAACACTTAACCAGAATTATGATCTCTGTCATACTGATGCTTACAGAAGTTGAGTGACTTCACCAAGGTCACAAGTTTCCCAAGTGTGGTAGTCTGGCCGCAATGCTTACTGTTCAGAATTCTAATAATACTGCTGTCAAGAGAAACAGCCCCAAACTGTATAATCAGTTCCAATGACCTAAATCAAGCTCTGGCAAACAATAATATAAATAATAAAAGTTAAAATAATGTAAATCCAAGGTTGACCCATCTTTTTTTCATAATAGTCAATTAAAAAAAAAAAAAAAAGAAAAGAAACACACTGCCGTCAAGTTGATTGCAACTCGTAGTGACCCCTCCTTGGGTTTCTGAGGTGGTATCTCTATGGAAGTAGATTGCCCAGTCTTCCTTCTGAGGAGTGGCTGGTGGGTTTGAACAGGAAACCTTCTGGTTAGCAGTCAAATGCCTTAGGCATTACTCCACCAGAGCTCCCATAATAATCAATATAGACTCAAAATGTTGGAGGGAATTCAATATCTTTCTTTTTCTTGCCCCACTTACAGGATTTTAGGATTACCAAAAGTAGTAATCCACAACATATACTAAACCTGTATCATCGGCAATGGGATTTTGGTTATATGTAAATCCCCACTCCTGCTCCCATGCTGTGACCCTGCTCTCCATATGTAATTATTTGTGGGTTTTTTTTTTTT